TCAATTTTAATATTTTTTACTTTTATGGGTTTTGTCATTAAGTTTGCATACTAAAATGTTTCGTGTTTTTCACAGACGAGGATTTTTTGGTGTTATTCTCTCTCTCTCTCTCTCGCTTTAAATCTATAATAAAGTAAAGTAATAAAAGATATAAATGCAAAAACTAAAGGTACAAAATCACAATGCTTGAGTCCCTTGATGGATACATTAAAGAAAATCGTCAAACTCAATCACAGAAACTATCATATCTTTTGTTTAGTTCATCATCATTTGTCAATTCTCTTACCCAAAATAAACAAAAACAAAAGGTCATAAATAAATAAGAAAAAATTATAATATAAAGGAAAGATAGAAGATAATAAGAGGAAAATGGTGGAAGGAAATCAAACGAAAACAGGAAACAACACAACAAAGATCTAACTAAATAAATTGATTATTTCCCGGGAGATGGTAAAAATATTTCCCTCAAAAACTCTGGAGATAAACAGGATTAGGAAGTCGAAGAAACAGTCTTTAACTCTCTGTTTATTCCCGGTAACGTTATAATATAATAATGAAGCCCCATAAGGTAGCTTATAGAGTTCCGTTCAGAGGTTTGTGTCGTGGTCGGTCAAGGGTGCCTAGCCTGTTGTACCCTTCCTGAACGACACAGGTCACTGCACCGAACCTCCTACTAACACACATTATAACTCTCCGTGATAAGGGTCTCTCCATACGGGGTACAGCACATGAAGTTGGCCTGTCCTGTGATGAAGTGGATAAGAGGAGAGCTGTAACCTTAACGACTTAGGTAAGGTATAACTGTCTCGGTAAAGGAGCGGACCATAGCAGCATTGATGACTGAAGGATAGAGAATGAGAGACCTGCATCATGTTCAATGTTTAGGTAAAGATTATGAAAAGCTCGACCACGGAACTTCATATTAATATTTATATAGGTAGATAGAGAAATCCTAACCTAAGTTTATTAACAGCTAATTTCAGCCTCACTATTTGTGGGTAAGGCTAAGTTTTGATATTATTGAAATTGGTGATCTATCTGGAAATAATAATCACTGCTGTAACCTTTTATTATATTGAAATTATTGTATAGATTATGTAGCAGAGTTATGGAAGCTGGCATATAATTTCCAACCATGTTAATATTTGAAATGTAAATTTACAGTTTAGGTAACCCAGAGTGTCAAAAGTATTCTAAATATGGGTGTGTAGGGAGAGCAGGAGCCCCTCAGAGGACCACCCCGGCAGATGACGCTGCAATTATCGCGGCGGCCGAGGCAACCCCTCAAACCGCTGCCATACGAGACAGCCTGCATACATAAGGCGATTGTTGCTATTAATCGTTTTCGTCGTACTGTTGCCCTTAATCATACATAATGCAATTGTTCATTCGAAACTAATGTCCCAATTGTATTCTGATATTCTAATGGATACTCCTATCACTATAGATTTCTGCTCTGGTAAACAAGATATTAACACATCTTCATCACCCATCAGCAGTAACGTTGGCCGATATTCACATTAATATCCTCCCAATCTCTTTTTTGATGAGTATTCGTTCGACTCACACTGCTCCGTTGACGGTGTGTGTTGGTGGGAGGGTCGACGTAGTGACCTGACGTCCAGGAAGGGTACAACAGACTATGCACCCTTCACCACCAGTGCTGGGAATGATAGAGAGAGAGAGAACAGATGAAATAAGTATACCGCGAAGCAGGAGAGAGTGAGACAGTGAGAGAGAGCAGGAGGGAGACAGAGAGACACAGACAGTAAGACAGAGAGAAAGAGAGAGAGTCAGAACACCTCTAAACAAAAAAGAGTGATACAGTGAGAGAGAGCGAGGAGATGGATAGACAGAGGGAAAGAGGGAAAGCAAGAGAGAGAGAGAGAGAGAGAGAGAGAGAGAGAGAGAGAGAGAGAGAGAGAGAGAGAGTCAATCAGAATACCTCGAAGCAGGATGTGAGACGCAATGTTGGGTGAAGCAGAAGTTTACCTCGTCGCCGTTGTTCTTCCTCCTCCTCTTCCTCTTCCTCTTCCTCCTCCTCCTCTCCCTCCTCCTCCTCCTCCTCCTCATCGCCACTAACACAATAACACCTGATGGGAAATTCTCAAAATGGCTTGATGTGGACGGCAAAAATCTCATTCCAGCAAACTCGAATGGAAGTGTAACAGAGATTGACTGTTCCTTTATTGTTGACATGTCCTTGATTTTTTTTTTTCATGTTTTTTTTGTCTTTTTTCATTTTTTTTTTGTCTTTTTTTCATGTTTTTTGTCTTGTTTTTTGTTTCTTGTTTTGTTTTGCTTTTGTTTTTTGTTTTATTATTTTGTTTGTCTTGTTTTTTTGCTTTTGTTTTTTGTTTTATTATTTTGTTTGTCTTGTTTTTTTGTTTTTGTTTTGTCTTGTTTTTATCTGTGACTTTACAAACAACTAGATAGGACAAGTGAAGTACGATGCAGGTGAAGATTACAGGTGTGTGTATAAGTATATGGACAGGTGTTTGTATATATATATTAACAGGTGTGTATATATATGGACAGGTGTGTATATATGAACAGGAAGGTGGATGGGATAGATAGAAAGATATTATACAGAATGAGGTGAGTAAAGATAGAGAGACAGACAGACAGACAGAGACAGACAGAAAGATAGGTTGGCAGGGAGAAGGGAAGGAAGGAACAGACAGACAGACAGACAGAGACAGACAGAGACAGAGACAGACAGACAGACAGACAGGAATCAAACATGACACGAACATCGAATATTAACCAACTAGATGGTAATTAGGCTTTTATGAGATCAAGGTCATTTACATGTAATTACTATAATGATTATATAATGATACATGACCTCAGCTGACGTCACAGGTAAGCGAGGTTCATTATTAAAGGTAATTATTGAGTTTACCTGTGTTAGTTAGCTCTATGAATGCTAGTTCTGACTGACTGACTGACTGACTGACTGACTGACTAATTGGTTGATTGACTCACCCACTCACTCACTCAACCTAAACTATGATAAATAAAATAATCGTCTCATTAGCCTTTCATACCGAGTTCATTGCATCATTTAAAAGCTGTTGTGGGCCGTTTAACGCATACAAGACGTCTTTATCAGGTTCAGTGCTTCGTTTAAGGATCTGTTGTGGGCCATTTAACGCCGTGCCGTATAATGCAGGGATCCCCATACAGGTCAGATATTGGGTATGGTTAATCGATGGTCCAATAAGGTGGGGAATACTATGTTATTGGAGACTCCATATATAGTTTTTTCGAGTTCATCTTTCAGCGGTGATGAGAGAGAGAGAGAGAGAGAGAGAGAGAGAGAGAGAGAGAGAGAGAGAGAGAGAGAGAGAGAGAGAGGGGGGGACACGAATCATCAGGTGTCCTTTGAGGAATTCTTTACAGGATGTCATAGGAATCTGGTTCAAATATCCAAGATTTAATACCAGATAAAGAAAATCCCTAAGAGTTTCTAATTAGCCAGACAGGTTTAAAAAATATCACATTAACCATCGTTTTCATTGAGATTATTAGACGCAATGACTTCAAGTCTAAGATGTTGCTTAAGGGTTGATTAATGTTCTCAGTTGGAGACTACGAGTTAATTACTTTCTTTAGCAGATGACGAGTACCAACCAAATCTAATCTATTTATGTGGTAGTACGTGATGGATTAGTGACAGCATTTGGTAGATAGGTGGCAGCATTTGATACATATGTGCAGCATTTGATAAGCACGGGCAGTATTTGATAGGGATGTGGTAACATTTAATAGGTATGTGGCAGTATTTGATAGGTATATGCAGCATTTGATAGGTATGTGGAACATTTGATAGGTACGCGGCAATATTTGCTAGGTATGTGGCAGCATTTGATAGAGATGTGGTAGCATTTGATAGGGAAGTGGCAGAATTTGATAGGCATGTAGCAGCATTTGATAGGCATGTAGCAGCATTTGATAGGCATGTAGCAGCATTTGATAGGCATGTAGCAGCATTTGATAGGCATGTAGCAGCATTTGATAGTTATATAGTAGTTCTTAATGGAGAAGTAGCAGCATTTGGTTGATACTGTATATAATAACCCATGGGAGATTAAAGTAAACATTTCTACCCCCAATAACACGACACAAGACATTTAACTGACTTTCAATAGCCAGAACTTATGTAATATTCCTACCTCAATTATCTGTCAACCTTATCTTTTTTATTAGACACAAAGGTTACCTCCAATAAGCCTCAAAATATTCACGACTATGAACTGATTCCAATGTCGTGAAGCGGGATGACCCAAAAGTCAAATGAGCATCTTAAGGAACTGTGTTATTATGATGTTTATAGGTTAGTATGTTGAGTTTAATATCTCATTTGACTATTATTTTGGACGGTGTATCAATTCTTCTCCTCTCTCACCTTATCATCAATATTATCAAGATAAATAAATATTGTGTTGTTTATAATAGGGTTAATGGAAGTTGAGCATACTCTCTCTCTCTCTCTCTCTCTCTCTCTCTCTCTCTCTCTCTCTCTCTCAAAGGAGCAATGTTTTATTTATTTTATTTTCGCTAATAACCTAACCTAATTTAACCCTAATTTAGCCTAATCTAATCTATTATTAACCTAACCTAACCTAACCTAATCCACATAATAAATTCGTGTTCTTGGGTGTCATTTATGAGGCCATCAATGTCAACAAGACCACTCGATCGGTTTTCAGAATGTGTGAATATCTGACGAATGTTGCCAGAGCTTCAACATGTGGTTATAGATTATTTACAACATACACGAAAGTTGTTATTGGTTGTTCTTGGTTGTTATTGGTTATTAAGTCAAACACATAGATAGAAGACAATAAAGATATGTAAAGTGAATAAAAAGATATGTTTAGCAATAGTCTACCATAATTGATCACCGATAAGATGGATAGTGGAGAGAGATAATTTTTAATGGTACCTGAAGGTAGGTGATGAGGAGTGAGTTTGAGTCATCTAGGACCATAACAGTCAAGGCTTCACTGTGAGGTGGTCTACTGCCAGGTGAGGATGTGTTCATAGATATTGGTCTGGTAAGGACTTGTTCACTGGTGTTCACGGGTGTTCCTAGGTGTTCACATGGAGGTGCTGTATTTGTCGTATTCAAGAAAAGTTCCTTCCTTCCGTGACGTGAGAATTTTTCCGTCATATAGGACAAATTATTGGAACTTAAATGAAATTATTTGGAAAACCCTTTAAAAATTCTTCCACTTTATATTATCTGTTAAATTAATTGATTGTCCTTAATAATGATAAATAAATTAAATAAAGTGTTATTTTATTGACAATAACATAATTTAGTCCGATTTATTGTGATATTGATAACGTTAATAGTTTTTTTTTAAAGAGTTTCCTGCGTCCGTTGTGATATCTATGCCATGAAAACATCACTAGTGTACAGAGACGCGTTCCTGTGTTCTCCCCCCCCCCCTCCCCTCCCTCCCTAACAGTTGGTCAATTTTCGTTAATGATGCACCGGCAATATGAAATAACTTTAATACAGCAGACATATGGGTTAATATTAATCTGCCAACTTTCTTTTTTAAGGTTTCCTAAATAAATGGTGTATTTCTGGGTCAGTTTTCCTCCCTTTCATTGGCTAATCATCTTGTGTAAATATTTTTTTTTTTAGTGGAGGTTTAAGACGAAATTATTTGCCTAGTTAATGCTAATGTGAATGTTAAGAATAAGCTACACTGACAGGAAAACAACTGAAGAAGTACTAAGATCAGTAAAAAAAACTTCAAGAGAAATACTTGAAATGTACAGAAAAAGACAAATGAGATACTTTGGTTATATAATTAAGGATGAAGGAATAATAACAAATATTAATGGGCAAAGTTGAGGGTAGGAGGGCCAGAGGAAGGTAGAGACAAGGATGGGTGAATGAAATTAAAAACTGAGTCCCCAGAGAGATACAAAACCTTAGAGGATTGATAAAAACAACACCGGGAAAGGTTAGCGTGGAGGACTAACTCTTCCATAACTAACTATCCTCTATCCTCCTTCACAATGATGAAAAAATATGAAAAATCATACGGAATTTAATAACTATCCTTGGAAATAAACTCATATAAACTATTTAATTTTCTGAATATAAGTTACAGAGTATCACTAGAGAGATAAGGGTTTCATTTATTTCCTCCACGCTGTTCTTGACGTTGTATTACATTTAGGATTATTAACTTGTTTTTTATGTGTATCAGAATAATAATAATTTAGTTCTTTATAAACAGATTGGAGAAAAAAGCTAAATACTTTACATTAAACGAATTTTAAACTTTAGTTATGAATATTTCAAAACCTCGCCTGAGTTGAAATGAATCGTGGTTTTCTGTATATGACTCTCTCTCTCTCTCTCTCTCTCTCTCTCTCTCTTGAAACAGGCTGGTGTGAGAAGACGTCGGCAAGATGTTGTACAAGACATCTCTGAAGGGGTCGCTGACGGGGCCCCTTCTGCTGGTGGCGGTGGTGGTGGTCTTACTGTTTCATGGTGAGTCTCTCTCTCTCTCTCTCTCTCTCTCTGCATTGCTATTACCCTCCTCGTCCTTTCTTTGTGTTTCTTTGTGTTTGTGTTACTGTGTGTACCTATGTAAGTATTTATCTTTTTATGTACGTTTTTCAATGCACATGTACATTTATATTACTGTATCTGATTTGTGCACGTTTTTTTTTTCAGTGTACATGACCGTTTATGATACTATAGTCTGATGTGTGTACGTTCATGGTGTTTGTATCCTGTTTTTCTGTTCCATTCCCTTGTCCTATCTGTTTTCCCTCGCTTTCTATTCCCTATTCCAATCCTCTTATCCCCCTGTTCATCATTCGTAGCCTTACTATCCTGTTCTTCCTCATCCCATCCCTTTATCTCATCTGTTCTCTCTATTCCATTCCATTCCCCCTTTGTTCATCATCCCATTTTTTACTATACTGTTCTTCCTCATCCCATCCCTTTATATCATCTGTTCTCTCTATTCCATTCCATTCCCCCTTTGTTCATCATCCCATTTTTTACTATACTGTTCTTCCTCATTCCCTTCCCTTTATCTCATCTGTTCTGCCAGGCACGTCATCCATCCAGGTGTTGGAGTTCCAGAAGGATGGGAAGGCGACGTTAGAGACGATGGGGCTATACAAGGGAACGCTGGATCGTAACTGGAGAATGGACTCACTGACTCTCTGTGGACGTTTCATGATCTTCTTCCTACATAAGAGAGGGACTTTCTTTCAGCTGTGGGATAAAGTGGATGATTTAGAGTCCCAGTTGAAAGGAGGTTAGTTATTCTTAAGGGTTAGAGTAAGGATAGAATGTTAGAAGGGTTAGGAGAGTTGGTTAGAATAAGGATAGAATGTTAGAAGGGTTAGGAGAGTTGGTTAGAATAAGGATAGAATGTTAGAAGGGTTAGGAGAGTTGGTTAGAATAAGGATAGAATGTTAGAAGTAGGCAAGACGTAGGCAAGACGTAGGCAAGACGTAGATATTAAACTGGTGGAGGAAGAAAATAAAGGTCTAGAAGCATAATCAAAACAAAATAAACAACAATAAAGTAAAAATATATAAAGAAATAAAGTTGATGAGAGTAATAAGGAAGAGAGAGAGAGAAAATGAGATCGATTTTTGATGGGTAACTATTGTTTTGGTTTTTCTTCAGAGTTGTGGCTGAATCGTGTTAGGCCTGTTATTGCCCATCGTTGGCAGTTTCAACTTCTCGAGAACAAATTAAGAACATTCAAGTAAGTATTTCTTCCTTGGTTGTAATTAACTATGTTTTCTTTATAATCGTCTTCGTTTTTTGGTTAAGTTCTCGTTTTAGTTTTATGTAAGAAATTTTAGTGTTTTTGTGGGTATATCTAACTGGAACTTATGTATTTTAGTCTCTCTCTCTCTCTCTCTCTCTCTCTCTCTCTCTCTCTCCTTGACATTTTTTTGTTTTCCTTCATCAAAACTCACTCGAATTTCTACTTTCATTCATCCACTTCTCTCTCCTCTTTCCATCACCTGCACCAGATGGTATCACCTGTGTTTCACCTACGACCACCTGACGAACCGCTACAGCACCTACATGAACGGGGAGTTCGTCTACGGCCTAAATTACAACGTGGACCGTCAGGTGTACGGTGATTATGCCCGGGTCGGCCAGGCGGGTCCCTTGTATGAAAGTTTCAGCGGTGCTCTGTCCCAGGTGAATACATCAGCAGATCGTTAGAAAAGTTCTCTGCAAGTTTACTAATAATTTCTTAACCTCCTTTAGAACTTACAGCAAGCATCGGAAATTTACAGAGGTCAATAAAACTTGTGTTAATAATATAAACATTTTGCAGGATGATTAGCGAAGTATTAGTGTAAGTTTCCGTTACTCCTGCAGGTCAATGTGTGGGACTCTGTGGTGAGCGCTGCCGTAATAGCTGATATGGCTGCCTGTAAGAGTGACCCTCAGGGTAACTACATCTCCTGGGAGGTCGGGTGGGACCTTTATAGCATCACAGAGTACGACGTTCCTCTCGAACACTTCTGCCAGCAGTCGACGGACACCGTGTATTTTGGCTTCCCGGAGTTGCCAATGGATAACGCATTCTACATCTGTGAAGCCCTCGGCTCTCACTTGCCTCTCACAGTTACCATGGAAGATATTTACTTCTGGTTTAACCTCTCGGCTCGCTCTTGGCCCGACCACCTCGACGTGTGTGGAGACGATTTCTGGGGCGCTGTCATCGATATCCGTGAGGAGGGCACTTGGGTCACCCACTACGATAATGCCATTGTTCCAACTATAGCCTGGAAAGACGGAGAACCCAATGGCATATTTTATGAGAATTGCGTCAAGATTGAACCCATCGGCCTAGCAGACATCAACTGCCTCACCAATGTGAGGTGCGCGATATGTGAGTTTCCAGATCTGCAGATCTTCTCCTTCCTGGGCACGTGTGAGCTGGAGTTACGCAACATCCACTTCATCGCCTACCAGGAGCGTCTGGGTGACCTGTACTTTAAGGGATATGGTGAGTACCTCATCCGCCAGGAGGGAAAAGAGTGGTTGTGGATTAACGTCGTTAAGAACCGAACTCTGGCGAGACTAGACCGCAATTCACCGTTTAATATGCCTATGGGACGTCGCGTCTGGCATCTTGAGACAACTGTTTGTAACCAAGTGAAAGGTGCACGAACCCTGGTTCTCACACCTTGCCAGTCAGACAGTTACACTTGTGATGACGCCACGTGCATCCCGCTCGAGAATCGTTGTGACTTTAAGTATGACTGTCAGGACCGCAGCGACGAGGTCGACTGTGAACTTGTCGGTAAACCTGGAGACTACAAGAAGGAGCTGCCGCCACGACTCGGCGACGACAAAGAAGCAGCGAGTTTACCTGTAACTATCAAGATCAACATCGAGTCCACTACCATATACACAACACAGATGACCATGCAGTTGTCATACGAGATTCACATGACTTGGTTCGACAACCGCCTCACGTATCGCAACCTGAAGACCAACGACAGCCTCAACAAGGTGCCCTTCTCCAGCATGATGAGTCTGTGGTCGCCCACCGTCGGGTTTGTCAACACGGAGGGTCACCAACACACCACCGTCGACATAGAATCACTGTTGTACCTCCAGCGCCATCACCCGCCAGCACGTAGAGACAACAGCGCTCCTGGTGAAGGTAAGATGATAACTTGTGCTGTGTCAAGACGCCTTTGGTATTCGTAAAATATATGAGTAATAAGTAGATAGAAGGTGCAGTCTGTTAACACGTGAGCATTGTTTATACCGACTACAGTGGACCTGTTCCCGGGTGAGGAGAACCCCCTCACGATCTCCAGGAAGTACAGCACCACCTTCAACTGTGACTTCAACCTGGTGCTGTACCCGTTTGACGTGCAGCACTGTGACATGCACCTCAGGATGCTCTCCGGCTCCAAGAATTACCTCACTTTCGAAGACATCTCCTCCAGCGCCGCCTACCATGGTAGTGAACTGCTGCTGGAGTATCAGGTCAGTGTTCACTAATACTGGAGGCTGTAACACTCCCTCCGTGCTGTTGTTTTTATTCCAAATAAATATTGATCATCAACAGTCGAGCGAGACCTAAAAGGTTTTCCTGTACACCGACAGATCAAACAGCCCAAACTGCTGTACGACAACAGCCAGGAGTTCAGCGAGATGATGGTGAGGGTCACACTCCAGCGACGCTCCGGCTACTCCATCCTCAACATCTACACGCCCTCCATGATCCTAATCGTGATCAGCTACGTCAGCCTCTTCTTCCGTCCACACATCCTCGAGGTTCGGGTCATGACAACCCTGACGTCACTGCTCGTGTTGGCTACACTCTTTACACAGGTGAGAGAGAGAGAGAGAGAGAGGGAGAAGACTTTTCCATGCTCCATAAACCACAGCGCTTATAAACAGAAACGGGCAAACGTTCGCCAGACGAAGATAACATAAGTCTGTCAACGTTCTGTTCATGGATCGTATTGGCGGTCATTTCATGGTAAGATCTTGAAGTTGGTGGAGGTCTCAAAGTGGACCGTTGATAACTGATGAATTTTATTTAATAATACTTAAAATGGCCAAGTAAAATATGAATCACCTTAAGTCTTGGTAACTAGCACGGTGTATGTTTACCAGCTCTACGTGTGCCGTTGACATGACACCCGTTATTGGCACAGCACCCATGAATTTACTTTTAAAATGACTCTTGGTACAGTAGACATGTGTTCAACGGAGTAAATGTTCAAAACATTACTTTAGTGAGACCATACCAAAAGGTTTTAGGGTTTTTCTCATTGTGTAGCATTTTATAGTATTGTGTATATGGTGCTCATGCCAGTTTCAATACGGGAATTATAACCATTTTTACTTAAAATCTATCTATCTATTTTGTTGATTTAATAATACCTAGTACCGTTACATAAACTAATTACCAAATATATAAACATATCAGCTAAAATTATTCATATATAAGACAGTATCCCCTCTAAAATTATCATAGAAAATTTTATAATATGACGGGGTAACTATGGTATATTATTTGGCCTCCAGGTATCTGCCTCACTACCCAAGACGTCCTACTTCAAGATGGTGGACGTGTGGCTCCTCTTCTGTATCGTCATGAGTTTCCTCATTATAATATTCCACACCATCATCGACAACACCCTAATTGACGCTATACCCGGGATGACCGCCTCCTCTCCCCCGGCACCCACCAAAGTCTTACCCCTCTCTGTCGACAGTCGTCCCTCCAGCAGCGACTTCAGGAGCTACGCACATCTCGGAACGACCACCAAGAGCCTCATCACTGCCTCCCGCTACAGTCTCTTGGCCATATTTGTCATCTTCAACTTGATTTATTGGTCATATATCTTTGGCTAATAGTCTCAAGTCCCCAGTTAATGATGTACGCATTCCTCCATAAGCTAATGTTTACGGTTTTCTAACTTGATCACGATTGTTGTTGTTAATTTTTATGTTAGTAGTGTGGTCAGAGAATCACTAGTGTGTTATATTAATTAGTATTGGGTTCTCTTGTCTTCTCTTTCACTCGTCTCTCTCATTCGTCTCTCGGCTTCTCACCCACATTCTTCTGTTTGGTGTTCACTTATCTATAACTCCTCGCCTTTTATCACTCTATTATCATTCACAAACAATGTAATCTTCTTAACTGTTTCCTTAGGTCAAATCCATTTTAATCTTGGCTCATCTTGATTTTCTTATCATTAAAAAAATAATAATTTACTAAGAATGTTATGGTGTACGCTTCCCCAACAGGCAAGGTCATTAAGCAAATAAACTAGATTACTAATTTCTCTAGTCAACCAACAATTAGAAATTATATTCGTTTTCTTTATCTTCTTTCAAATGTGTTATATATGTTAAGTAAAATCACTAAGGTTTAATTATGGTTTACTATGTTTTTATGTATTAATTGTATGTCCTTAATAAACCACATCTTGGTAAGTCAAACGATAAGTCGTGTTTTATTAAATGGCAGAAGGTTGAGGGAGGGAATTATTGTTGGGACCTGAAACAACGGGGTAGCATCACACTATGCCACTATGACGCTGTAACCGGTGACGACAACCGCCACTACAAAGAATATCAATCCCTGACTCGATCTCAACAGCTTATATACATGAGACTGCGCCTAAGGTACAGGTACCTATGGGAGTACATTGGCAACCCTGAGCCTCACCGCACTGTTTGTAAACTTTGTGGCCAACCCGACTCTCACACCCTCTCTCACTACATCCTCACTTGCCCTATGACCTCCTATAGGTCCCCAGCCGTTACCAACACCTCTTCCCTCCCAGACCAGATATCCCTCCTCCTAGACACAGGCCTGGTATTTGACATTATTAGGGACCTGCCACTCTTTGCCATAAACAGATGAAATGTACCGGGAACTTTCCCCCCACACACTCATCATTCTCTCACTTTATGTAACTTGACAAAACCTATGACCCTTCAGGCTTTTACGCCCTTAATGTACGAGTCATAAAGGCAAGTATGAACTTTTCATACTTCCCTGTTGGGCGCTGTAAACGCTTCACCTTGCACAGGATGTAAGGGGGTGCCCAATAAACTAGCCCCCTCGGGGGCAAATCTGAAATCTGAATTATTGTTGGGACATTTCACTTCACTGTAGTCGATAGTGGTCACCAATATGGTCTTAAAAAATAACACTACATCTGTTTTAATATCTATCTCGCGTATCCTTATTATATTTTGTTTAATTAATTTGTTAGTTTAATAAATCTAAAATAAATGTTAAAGGTTAGATGAGTACTTAGGGAGCGTAAGTTTCTAGTGAAGTTTGTCCTAGAAAATATTCTAAGAAAATGGAATTAAATGGAAACTTAGATATTTTTAGCGTAGATGAAAAACCACTATCTCTCATAATCCCTGGGTGATGCCCCGGTCTTATAAGTGTCCAAGAGAACAAATAAGAGATAATAGTAATTAATCCTATCTCAAAATCAAATATAATTAATTATTAACTAACCTAACCTAACCTATAAGTGAAGCCAGATAGGGGATCACGTGAAGATTAGACACCCTATATTCCTCAGGAGACAGTTGAGTGCGTTTTATCATCTTGGGTAAAGTCTCCACCACTAACCTACTTTACTCAGTGACTTTTAACCATTTGTATTTGATCTAATATTACAAACTCAATTACCTGTCAAACTCAATTTTTTTATATAAAGCAAATGTTAACTCAAATGATTTCGTAATATTCAAAATCAATTCTTGTGTCAGGCGCCGAGATCTCTGTACCGTGCCTCTGTTCTCACACGATCATTATCAGCGTGTGTTATTACTTACTTACTCGATTATTATTACGGAAGATATATAATAGATTAAGTGACAGATAGAAGCACAAACATTCATAATTCGTGCTCGGTGTCAGTGCCGTACGATAGCTTAGGACAGTGTTCAGGCAGTCAGCTGATCATCACTGGCGGACGTACAAAGCAACCTACTTTTCTTTAAAAACTTCTATGGATTTCACCAAATTGCTACCCCTCATAACCACCCAAGGGAACTACCACCGTGCTTGTTTAGTTTGACGACGGGTAAAGTTGTAGGAGCCTTGGTATAGTACGTGCCGCAGCTCCTCCACGTCAACATGGGAAATTTACAGGGGGACGATTCAACTTAATAGTGCGTCAACTTTACTCTTGAAAATGTATACCGATGACTCGTTAGTTATTACAAGTAGTTTATATCACCACAACTGACGGTAACCACGGACTCAATATGATGTTGTGAAATTAAAATACAAAAACAAAACAAGAAAACAATCGATTATCATGGATGAAACTTTACTTCGATCTTACTATAGGGGGGGGGGGTACTATAACCTGTCCCCAATGTGAACGACTTATGAACTACAGAACTACAGAAAGCTTATTGGAGCCTTCACAACACTTGAGGTATGTGAAAAGAAACACAAAAATGTCTTGAAAGGATAGAGCTATTTTGTAGATTTATTGGTATCACGTGAAGATTAGACACCCCTGCTGATTTCACTTGTAACCATTGTAAAGTTACCTGGGTGGTGTGCTCATTACATCGTGTCCAGGTAAGGTGGTCTGGGATATTGTTGTCATTACTCGTGAACTCTGAGGTAGTGAGTGAATGAAGAGGGACTGTTATTCACCTGTTCGTGGATATTTTTCACTGGGATGTATAGAACGAATGAGGTAATATGTTGGTGTGTATGTGTGTGTGTGTGTGTATGTATGTGTGTGTGTGTGTTTGTGTGTTTGTCTTTTAAGGGCATGAAACAGCCAATGACAACGTCCCAAACTCAGAGCATCAACCCACACATACACAAACAATACCTCAGCGGTACTTACATCCTTACATACAATTAACCTTCAGACAAATACACTCACAAATATTTCATGACCATTTACGAAGCTTTCCACATCAACAATACCACTATTGATCTTGAATATTGAAAATACCCGAGAGTATTCCTTAAGCTTCAATATGTGGCTATGGCAAATATTCATAAGATCGTCGTCGGTAGTAAATAGCTTCAAGTAGGAGTAAAAAATAAAACAATATACCTAGATCGATTGGTAGGTGTACCAGGTAGGTGATAGTAATTGAACATCGATAAGACAGGTACAAAAATAAGATAAATTTCGCGTGATATTTGAAGTAATAGAATAAGATGTCTTGACGTTGACCCTCAAACCCACGACACTGAGGCGATCATTGTACAGCAGACTTTTGCCAGGTAAGGATGTGTTCAAAGGTGTTCACAGTTATTCCTATGGTGGTGTTACTTATTGTGATTGTTTATTCTCTACGTAAAGTACATTAATCTGTTACCGTTTAGAGGTTTATACAATTTAACACGTGATTTTTCGTAATTTTCGCCAAATAGAAATAATTTTGTGATGGACTTTTGACAGGGATTGGACAAATATTTCATCATTGTTATAATCATCACCAAAAGTATTAATAATGATAATAATGACAGTATTATTATTGTTATTATGATCGTTGTATAAGGTTGGTGTGTGAAGACGTCATCATGATGTTATACAAGACGAGCCTGAGGAAGTCGCTGACGGAGCTCCTGGTGGTGGTGGTACTACTGTTTCATGGTGAGCTACCTCTCTCTCTCTCTCTCTCTCTTTCTCTCTCTAATCCTTGGAGAGACACAACTTATACTTGTGATTTGATTTTGTTTCTAGATTTAAAGCATGATGGTATTTGTCCTTTAAAGGATGTGTGTGTGTGTGTGTGTGTGTGTGTGTGTGTGTGTGTGTGTGTGTGTGTGTGTGTGTGTGTGTGTGTGTGTGTGTGTGTGTGTGTGTGTGTGTGTGTGTGTGTGTGTGTATTAGTCATCATATTCTGTCCCCAATAAACTGTCTGCTGTCCTCTTCACTCCGTTCCATACCCTTGCCCTCTGCCGTCCATTCCATCTCTTCTCCTTCCCACTCCATACTACCTTTCCTTCCCTTATCGTCTGCACTCCAACCCACACTCCACCACCAATCCTCCCCTTCTCTCCACTCTCTCCCACAATTTACCACCACCTCTCCATCTCCCCTCCTGTCCACTCTCTCCCACACTCTACCACCACCATTCCTCACACCTCTTCCATCTGTCTATCCCAGGGACGAGGAGCATCCAGGTGTTAGAGTTCCAGAGGGATGGTGTGGCTAGTGTGGAGACGATGGGGGAATATAAAGGTGTGGTGGACCGCAACTGGAGAATGGATTCCCTCACACTCTGCGCCCGATTCAAGATATTTTTCCTACACAACAGAGGGACTTTCTTTCAGCTGAAGGATACCGTTGACGACTGGGAAAATCAGCTGAAAGGAGGTGAGTCTCGGAGGTAAAACTTGGTGGAATTAGGTTAGGTTTGGTTTGGTTTGGTTTGGTTTGGTTTGGTTTGGTTAGATTAGGTTAGGTTAGATTAGATTACGTACACTGACATATCATACTCTAACATTTGGTAATCTGACATCTCGTACTCTGACATCTCGTACTCTTTCTTTCAGAGTTGTGGCTGAACCGTGTTAGACCAGTCATGGCTCACCGCTACCAGTTCCAACTTCTTAAGAACAAACTAAGAACATTCAAGTACGTGGTGTTCTTGTTTTTCATTATTCATTGTTCTTCAAGAGGTATTTGTTCTTGATGAGAAGGATTTTGTTATTCATGTCGACTTTGTTGGGTTTTGTTGATTTTCGTCCAAGTTAGTGATTTAATTTTGTGGGTTTCTAAGTTATGTACTTTGTCTTGCTTTCTTTATTTACTCTTTACTTCTATCCTATAACACCTATCGCACCTATCCCACCTACCCCCACCTACCCCACCTTTCCTACATATTTGTCTATTTATTTTCATCCCTTCATTCTGTTTTCTTCCTCTACGCTAGATGGTACCACCTGTGCTTCACCTACGACCACCTGAAGCACCTCTACAACACATTCATCAACGGGGAGCTCATCTTCGAATTGACATACGACGTGGCCCGCCAGATCTACGGTGACTACGCCCGGGTCGGCCAGGCGGGTCCTCTGTACGAGAGTTTCAGCGGCGCTCTGTCGCAGGTGAGGAACTTCTACACATTTTATTAAAGTTTCCTGTAGGGTTTTTAGCATGTTACGGTGTTCTCTGGGGCTCAGGCATTGACAGAGAGCACTATTAGGAGTTGCGTAGAGATATGTCACAAGTGCCAATGGTCCAAATTCTGTTCAATGAGTTTCAAGCAACCGAAGTTAGTGTTGAAAAGAAAACTATTTAGAAGACCCAAAAGACTGTGAAGGATTTTCGGTAAATTTCACGACTCTACGGCACTTATTATTCATCTGTGTGTAATATTAGTAAGGGAATCTTCGTTAATGTTTGGTGAGTTATTCTACAGTTTTCCGTTACTCCTGCAGGTCAATGTGTGGGACTCTGTGGTGAGCGCTGACGTAATCGCTCATATGGCTGCCTGCAAGAGTGACCCTCAGGGTAACTACATCTCCTGGGAGGTCGGATGGAACCTTTTTAAGGTCACGGAGTACAACGTTCCTCTCAGTCACTTCTGCCAACAGACAAAAGACACAACCTACTTTGGCTTTCCGGATTTGCGAATGGATTTCGCATTCTACATCTGTGAGGCCCTCGGCACCCACCTGCCAGTCACGAAAACCATGGAAGAGGTAGACTTCTGGTTCAACCTGTCGGCTCGCTCTTGGCCCGACCACCAGGATGTGTGTGGGCATGATTTCTGGGGCGCTGTCACCGACATCCGTGAGGAGGGCACTTGGGTCACCCACTACGATAATGCCCCCGCCCCGCCCCTTGCCTGGGATGACGGAGAACCCAATGGTATATATTATGAAAACTGTGGCAAGATTGAACCCATTGGCTTGTCAGATATCAACTGCCTGACAAACATTATGTGCGCGATATGTGAGTTTCCAGAACAGCAGATCTTCTCCTTCCTGGGCACGTGTGAGCTGGAGTTACGCAACATCCACTTCATCGCCTACCAGGAGCGTCTGGGTGACCTGTACTTTAAGGGATATGGTGAGTACCTCATCCGCCAGGAGGGAGAAGAGTGGGTGTGGATTAACGTCGTTAAGAACCGAACTCTGGCGAGACTAGACCGCAATTCACCGTTTAATATGCCTATGGGACGTCGCGTCTGGCATCTTGAGACAACAGTTTGTAACCAAGTGAAAGGTGCACGAACCCTGGTTCTCACACCTTGCCAGTCAGACAGTTACACTTGTGATGACGCCACGTGCATCCCGCTCGAGAATCGTTGTGACTTTAAGTATGACTGTCAGGACCGCAGCGACGAAGTCGACTGTGAACTTGTCGGTAAACCTGGAGACTACAAGAAGGAGCTGCCGCCACGACTCGGCGATGACAAAGAAGCAGCGAGTTTACCTGTAACTATCAAGATCAACATCGAGTCCACTACCATATACACAACGCAGATGACCATGCAGTTGTCTTACGAGATTCACATGACTTGGTTCGACAACCGCCTCACGTATCGCAACCTGAAGACCAACGACAGCCTCAACAAGGTGCCCTTCTCCAGCATGATGAGTCTGTGGTCGCCCACCGTCGGGTTTGTCAACACGGAGGGTCACCAACACACCACCGTCGACATAGAATCACTGTTGTACCTCCAGCGCCATCACCCGCCACCACGTAGAGACAACAGCGCTCCTGGTGAAGGTAAGATGATAACTTGAGCTGTGTCAAGACGCCTTTGGTATTCGTAAAATATATGAGTAATAAGTAGATAGAAGGTGCAGTCTGTTAACACGTGAGCATTGTTTATACCGACTACAGTGGACCTGTTCCCGGGTGAGGAGAACCCCCTCACGATCTCCAGGAAGTACAGCACCACCTTCAACTGTGACTTCAACCTGGTGCTGTACCCGTTTGACGTGCAGCACTGTGACATGCACCTCAGGATGCTCTCCGGCTCCAAGAATTACCTCACTTTCGAAGACATCTCCTCCAGCGCCGCCTACCATGGTAGTGAACTGCTGCTGGAGTATCAGGTCAGTGTTCACTAATACTGGAGGCTGTAACACTCCCTGCGTGCTGTTGTTTTTATTCCAAATAAATATTGATCATCAACAGTCGAGCGAGACCTAAAAGGTTTTCCTGTACACCGACAGATCAAACAGCCCAAACTGCTGTACGACAACAGCCAGGAGTTCAGCGAGATGATGGTGAGGGTCACACTCCAGCGACGCTCCGGCTACTCCATCCTCAACATCTACACGCCCTCCATGATCCTAATTGTGATCAGCTACGTCAGCCTCTTCTTCCGTCCACACATCCTCGAGGTTCGGGTCATGACAACCCTGACGTCACTGCTCGTGTTGGCTACACTCTTTACACAGGTGAGAGAGAGAGGCTTTGCACTACACAGGAGGTTGGTCTTGCATACCTCCCATAGCTACAGTACATCAACTCAATATGTTAATTCCTTGGTATGTGATCTGTTCCTCTATCAAAGGGTTACCACAAAGGTAGACCAATATAACCAGAACCTGCAATGTACACAGGTACCGTTGTGCCGCGAATTGTATTAAAATATGGTTCCTGGGACCTGTGTGTGGGTGGGGGACCTTGAGCTACAAGTGAGTAGTTATGGTAGGATAGCTTGTACCCCCATCGTGGCCCGGTGGATTGCTGCCAGACTCCCAACCAGGGTGGCCTGGGTTCGTTATCCGACACCCAGAGGTGAAAATTGTTTACATGAAGTACCAAACTGATAATATTACGGACCATAAACACACACTCATTAGTGGAGTACAGTTGTCTGTTCCATATCTTTATTGACACAGCCAACTCGATGGTCGCATTATCTTGTTCTTAACGGTGTAATGCTTAAAGGAAAGTAAGCAACTGATGTACTTTGTCCAGTTGTAGATACTAAAACACTAACTACGAAAATGAATACGTAGACATAGAGAAAAAAAACATTCTTTTTATTTCCTCTTCCTCTGTCCTTTCTCTATCACTATTCTCTCTCAGTTCTCATATTTTCTTTCTCACATATTCCTAAAGACTTCCGCTTATTAATACATCTTTAGCGACCTCCTCCTCCTCCTCCTCCTCACTCTCCTCTGGACGCCTAACCATCAGCGCCTCTCCTTGGCCTCCAGGTATCTGCCTCACTACCCAAGACGTCCTACTTCAAGATGGTGGACGTGTGGCTCCTCTTCTGTATCGTCATGAGTTTCCTCATTATAATATTCCACACCATCATCGACAACACCCTGATTGACGCTATACCCGGGATGACCGCCTCCTCTCCCCCGGCACCCACCAAAGTCTTACCCCTCTCTGTCGACAGTCGTCCCTCCAGCAGCGACTTCAGGAGCTACGCACATCTCGGAAAGACCACTAAGAGCCTCATCACTGCCTCCCGCTACAGTATCTTCGCTATCTTTACTCTCTTTAACTTGATTTATTGGTCATATATCTTTGGCTAACAGGTTCTCTTCGTGTTATTTATTTTTTTATTTTTTTTATTTTTTTATTTAGCTTAACGTAATTTAATTCAGTGATTCATTTTCTTCGTCTCACCATATCATTTATTTTTTGTGTTAATAGATGTGACAATTTGTTCTTGTTCTTTGTTATAGGTTCTGTAGTGTTGTTTTTGTTTAACCATTACTGTTATTAACCAACTGATCTCATGTTTGTAGACACGTTTGTTAAATGGTTTAGTATTATTAACTCACTTGATAATACCTTAATGACTCTGGTATATCTAATGATGAATCCTAACTCTAATTAACCACCGTTTCATGTTTCACGTTAATACTCTAAACAATATTCCTTAAGTTAATATTCACAAGTAATATTCCTCGTAACATTCAATTGTTAATGGACTAGTGTAATTATTAACATTATTACCCACTTAAAGACTTTACTAATTGAAGAACAGTAATAACATTATCTCAACAACATAACAACTATCCACACACATGAAAACAACTGTAGATAACTTGTAGATCTATAGCTTAGTCAATAGTCTACACACGTACCAAAAAACTATCTTTCCCATTTTATCTGACACAATATGACACAACGGATGAAACATTTTGACAACTCCTACCCAGACAACAGGAGTTAGTGTTCATTCTGAAATTCATCGTTCCTCTCCGTGAAGATACTTTTTTGGGTGTGTGTACTGAGAGTTAATAAGTGTCTTGTGAAAGTAATGAGATATTCTTAGTTGACTCTGAACATTTGTCCTCTTACTTGTAACTGCACTACTCAACTAGTTAACCTGTGCGTCTTTATCTTGCAATTAAATTTATTACTGTGGGAATATTAGTCATTGACCTGTGTTGTAATAATAATAATAATAATAATAATAATAATAATAATAATAATAATAATAATAATAATAATAATAAAATTTATGATGATGATGATGATGATAATAATAATACTCTTACACACATATTAATGGATCAGGATAATGAAAGCACATATATCCACACTTAATTCCTTCCTTTATTGACCATAGGAAAGAAAAATAAATCGCTCAAAAAAATAAATCCCAGAGTTACAAATAATTGTACACATGTGAGACTTATTATCAAACGGTAAATAAGTTATAATAACACTTTAAATAAATACCTCAAAGGGAAAAAATAATAATAAGACTTATTTTCTTTCAACACTTCATTCACAACACACTTAGGAGGTGAGTGTGTTAACGTGTTCCTTCAGGGTACACTATAACACACTCAGTAATAAATTAACTCTTAACATCCTTCAAATAGTGACTCAGGTGTAAACAAGTGAGTCAGGTGTCAACAAGTGAGTCATATGTAAAAAAAATAGTCACGCGAGTCGGGATGTAAACAATGCCACGTGATCCTGATGTAAACAGTATCACAATCAGGTGTTTCTAATGTTATTCAAGTCATTGTCAATCTCGGCCATTCAACTGTGTTCATTAGCTCTCTGTTAGGACGCTGCCAAACTCTTCTTCATCATTGGTTTAGACCCTCAGGTAAACACCGCTAAGAATTGACCTTGTGAACCTAATTAAAGATCATTTGAACCATAGGGAATACTGAGCCTCGTATATAAAAAGAACTGTGTGTCAGTCACAAACTATACGTGCCTGGCAACACTGTATGGGATATGGCAACACCGTGTGGGGCATGGCAACACCGTGTGGGGCATGGCAACACTGTGTGGGGCATGGCAACACAGTGTGGGGCATGACAACACAGTGTGGGGCATGGCAACACAGTGTGGGGCATGGCAACACCATGTGGGGCATGGCAACACCGTGTGGGGCATGGCAACACCGTGTGGGGCATGGCAACACCGTGTGGGGCATGGCAACACCGTGTGGAGTATGGCAACACCGTGCTTAACACAAAACAACTCTATATATTGTGATTCAAACTTTTGTGTAATCATATAAAAACAAATTAAAAGATAATCTAGGGTCACCATAATGGGTCTCCTCTTACGAGACCTGGATATAGTTACCTGTGGGAGGGGCAGGGGGGGAGGGGGTGAGGAGAAGGAGCGTAAAGGATGAGGGAGAGGGAGAGGTAGAAGGAGAGGGAGAGGGAAGTGAAGTGAGGGAGAGGGTGAGGGAAGAGAAGTGAGGGAGAGGGTGAGGGGAGAGAAGTGAGGGAGATGGTAAAGAGGGAAAAGGAAGGAAGGGGAAGTTACTCTCAGTTACAACCACATAATCACAGCGTCAACAGGTGTAACATCTACAGGTAAAGTAATTATTAGTATCTGTATCTACCTCAGTAATACTCCATTCTCATCTTTGTTTTAGTTCATCACCAGTTTGCTGCAAGATGAACTATTATGGGTAGTGAGTGAGACAAACTAGGCACATTTACAGTGACTGGGAGGGCAGTAACTTGGAACATGGTTACAGCTATCCATACACCATACATCCATGCCGGGGATACTCTGCCATACACCCACCGCCCTGCAGTTGCCAGTCGTTGGGGGGGCAGTGGAGGACACGGGGGAGGCTGTCGTTGGGGGGGCAGTGGAGGACACGGGGAGGCTGTCGTTGGGGGGGCAGTGGAGGACACGGGGGAGGCTGTCGTTGGGTGCGGCGTCAAGACACTGGAAGGTGGTCTTGTGGTTTGGCTCGACCTGTAACATGTAGTAAACCTCAGCTGTATTACACAAATATAAACTCCTTTATCACTGTTAATATAAAGACATAGAAATATATAGATCTTATACGAGAATATTGTTGACGATATTATTTTGTTATTTTACTGTAATTTTTCCTACGTTTCAAATATTCAAATCAATTATATTAACTTTTCCCTAATCGGTAAGAAATTATCCCTATAGTAAAATGATGATAATGCTGAGACAAGTTATTTCTTACACCTACAAAAGCCAAAATATGAATAACGTGTCGCAGTTTTCGTATTTTCATTCTCTGACAGATATTTTCAACCTGTAAATTAATCTACGTTCCGCCGACGCCATTTTTGCTTAGTAACACTAGACAAGGGGTTAGGTTAGGTTAGCTTAGCTTAGGTTTGGTTAGATTTGGGGTTCATCCTATCTCGTATAAATCCTATGATGTAGCAGTCGCTGGAAGTGTTTGTGTGTATGGAACGTTCGCTGGCAGTATTTGTGAGTATAGAACGTTCGCTGGCAGTGTTTGTGTGCAACGCTCGTTGGCAGTGGTTGTGTGTAAAGAACGTTCGCTGGAAGTGTTTGTGAGTATAAAACGTTCATTGGCAGTATTTCCAAGTATAGAACGTTCGCTGACGATGTCTGTGTGCATAGAACGCTCGTTGGCAGTTTTTCTGTGTAGAACGTTCGCTAGCAGTGTTTGTTTGTATGGAACAGTCGCTGGCAGTGTTTGTGTGTATAGAACAGTCGGTGGCAGTGTTTGTGTGTATATAACGTTCGCTAGCAGTGTTTGTGTGTATAAAACTGTGTGACTAACCCGGTGAGTTGGGAAGAGATGGCGACGTCAGCACAAGCTCTGAACTCCTCTTGTGGTCCACAGCCAACCATCCCTGTACCGTTCTCACAAATGCCCCAGTTGTTCCCAGCCACGTACCTCCACTGTAAACATGTTAGATATGTTAATAATGTCCTTACCAGCCACGTACCTCCACTGTAAACATGTTAGATATGTTAATAATGTCCTTACCAGCCACGTACCTCCACTGTAAACATGTTAATATTATGTTAACTTTGAACACATAAAGAATCAAGCGAGTGTATCAGAGGAGAGAAGTTATCGAGGAACTCACACTATTACTTGAAGCTCAGAGAAGAGTTGAGGCGTGGGTGTGGGCGTAGGAGTGGGTGTAGGCATGGGTGTTGGCTTGGGTATAGGCGTGAGTATAGGCATGGGTATAGGCGTGGGTAAAGGCATGAGCATAGACGTGGTTATAGGCGTGGATGTATACATGGGTATTGGCATGGCCATAGTGCATGGCTATAGGCATGGGTATAGGGGTGGTAGGCGTGTTTACGGGCGTGGGACTCACCTGCAGGACACACTGGGTACAGGTAAGGTCAAGGGGCAGATTAAGGTTCACTACGAAGTTGCCGGTTCTAGTGGTGGGCAGCCAGTACTCAAACCCGCCTGCTTCCTGATAGAGTGGGTGCCTGTACGACGTAAGTTAACTCTCATTAACATGTTAACTTTCACTCTTATCACCAATATGTTAACTTTCACTCTTATCACCAATATGTTAACTTTCACTCCTATCACCAATATGTTAACTATCACTCTTATCACCAATTTGTTACCGTTCACTCTTATCACCAATATGTTAACTTTCACTCTTATCACCAATATGTTAACTTTCACTCTTATCACCAATTTGTTACCGTTCACTCTTATCACCAATATGTTAACTTTCACTCTTATCACCAATATGTTAACTTTCACTCTTAGAAACACAGTAACTCTCACTCTCTCATTTATTCTCATTAACGTGCGAATTCACTCTGTCACTCACTCCTTTACTTGTGCTCTCTCTTTAACATTTTAACTTTCATTGACTTCTTAGCATGTTAACTGTAACTTAGATTAGACGTCCCTGCTTATATTACCCTGATGATTTAACATAACATAACATAACGTTACATAACATAACATAACATAGCATAACCTAACATAACATATCATAACATAACCTAACATAACATAGCATAACCTAACATAACATATCATAACATAACCTAACATAACCTAACATAACATAACCTAACATAACATAACATAGCATAACCTAACATAACATAACCTAACATAACATAACCTAACATAACATAACCTAACATAACATAGCATAACCTAACATAACAAAACCTAACATAACATAACCTAACATAACCTAACATAACATATCATAACATAACCTAACATAACATAGCATAACCTAACATAACATAACCTAACATAACATAACATACCTAACATAACATAACCTAACATAACATATCATAGCATAACCTAATATAACATAACGTAACTTAACATAACATAACGTAACATAACCTTAACCACTCCCCTTCAGGTAATTTTAGGATGCTTAGTCAACAGGTGAAATAAACTACAGGTAAATCCAATTAAAATAACCCTAAGCACCCCTTTACCTTCCCTTACCCTCAACTTCCCCACCTCTTCCCCCCCCCCCACCACATACAATACACCAAAACACATCATCCTCACTTACATATTAAGACAAGTCTGTGTGGCTTCTACATCTGGATTATTATTGGGGCAAATCCTGAATTCAAAATGGCCTTGATGGTTACTAGTGACCTCTACAGTAACAGATATCACTTCTCCTTGTGTATATTCTTTGACGATTGTACCAGTAGCGTATAAACCTCCTGCTTCATGAGGTCTGGGGTCCTCTTCCCAAGCATCTCCACAGAGTCCACATTTACCGTCGTTTACTGCATACTGGTGCTGTGTTAAGGGAAGGAAGAATGGAGTTTGGTTTGGTTGGTGAGAATTATGTTTTGGGTGTTAATTAGTTAGGCTTTGAAATATTGTCACTGAGAATGTGTAATACATCATAGGTTTCTGAGAAAAGTTAAGGTTCATGGTATCGAGGGGAAAGTTTTAAATTGGATAAAATCTTGGTTCACCGATAGAACACAGAGGGTCAGCGTAGATGGTGTTAAATCTGAGTGGGGCTGTGTAACTAGTGGGTTTTCACCGGGGTCAGTACTAGGCCCACTCTTGTTCATAATCTACATAAACGATCTAGATACTGGGATCGTCATCGACATAAGCAAGTTTGCGGATGACACCAAAATAGGGCGGCAGATTGGTTCAGGGCAGAATGCAAATGCACTACAGGCAGATTTAAATAAACTGCAGGAATGGTCAGAAAAATGGCAAATGAAATTCAACACCAGCAAGTGCAGCGTACTCAATATTGGAAGAACAAATACTGTCAATGTATACAGCCTTAACAACATCAACATAGAGAAGTCGACTTGTGAAAGAGACTTAGAGGTACTTGTAAGCCCGGACCTACGGCCTAGAAAATAGTGCGTTAATGTTCGAAATAAGGCAAACAGAGTATTGGGTTTTATATCTAGAAGTGTAAGTAATATGGGTGCGGAGGTCATTTTTACAACTATATCTTGCGCTAGTCAGGCCGCACCTCGATTATGCTGTTCAGTTCTGGTGCCCTTGTTATACAATGGATATCAATTCACTGGAGTCGGTGCAGCGAAGAATGACGAAAATAATTCCGGGACTAAGAAACCTTCCATATCAGGACTGGTTAAAGAAACTAAACTTCCATTCCCTAGAAAGACGAAGAGTGAGGGGAGATATGATAGAAGTATTTAAGTGGGTGAAATGAATCAATAAAGGGGATATAGATAAAGTTCTTATAATATCCGAGCAGGATAGAACTCATAGCAACCGATTTAAGTTGGATAAGCTTAGGTTTAGGAGGGAGATAGGAAGGAACTGGTTCGCAAATAGGGTGGTGTACGAGTGGAACAAGCTTAGCAACTTTGTAGTAAGTGCTGGAACGCTGGAAAGTTGTAAACGGAGGCTAGATAGATTCATGGATGATAGAGAGTGGTAGTAACTCTCGACAGGAGCTGCCATGCACAGGCCAACCGGCCTATTGCAGACTCTATATTTTTTTATGTTCTTATGTTCTTATGTGTTTGTGTGTGTGTGTGTGTGTGTGTGTGTGTGTGTGTCTCATTAAATCTTATTCTGAGAAACATCCAACCTACACACCAGTTACGGGGTACAGGTGAGAGTTTTCCATAACAGGAAGTGATTTTATGTCATTTATAAACTAATTAAAATCACCTGAGGATTGGTCACCCCAGTTTAGTTCACCTCATGATTAAAACATCCCAACGCTACCTGGGGGGGGGGGGCTAGGTTAGCGTTAGGTTAGGTCAATTTAATGTTAATTTACGTTAGGTTGCGTTAGATAGGATTAGGTTAGGTTCGATTATGATAGTTTAAGTTAGCTTTAGGTTAGATTAAATTAGCATTAGAATATGGTAGGTTAGATTATGTTAGCGTTAGATTAGAGCAGGTTATATTGGAATCAGATAAGGTTAATTTAGCGCAAAGGTTCCTTAATCAATCGGTGAAATATGCTCAGGTGTTTAACCATCATCGCAACACTTAGCACAGATGACACATAACATATTAATGGTCGTCCTTCGTAAACACCTTTACGAGATGTGGGCCAAAACCATTAGGCTTTTGTAATTAATGATATTTAGAGTTTATTGGCCGATATATCTTGACTATTGAGAGAGATATTAATATTTATTCGTAGCTGTGAAGAGGAAGGTGTGCAAGTCGATTCTGTGACGGGCGGTGTAGATATAAGGGAATTCTCTATATAACGGAATGATCTCTCCTTATAATCCGTTATATGGGAGTTTTTTCCACATCTAACGAACCCTCGATATAACGGAGTTTCCTCCCTACAGAGTCCGGTAAATAGAGGCTTTACACTGTTACACCTAGAGGCAGCGTGACCGGCACACCACTTGATCTCTTCCACGTAATCCAATGAGGGTTAGGTACCTAGTCACACCTGGGTCGAATAGGTGTACCTAAGGCGCAAACGGGCGACAGTTAGTATACGTGATGAGTGAGTGACCCACTGAACCACTTATGGTAATGATCTTGAGGTAATTATAGGTGCTATAATTACCCCAAGATCATTACTATAAGTGATAGGTATTATCGATAAACACTTCAGATTATATTTGAGTCACTTGAATATTAATCCCTCTCTACTTATTCCGCCTGAATTTTATCCACCTTAATGATACCTGCGTGGTTAGGTTAGCTTAGGTTTGGTTCAGCAGGAGAAAGTTAGGTTCAATAAGAACATAAGAATGGAGGAAACTGCAGCGGGTCTATTGGCCCACACTGGGCAGTCCTATTGACACCCAACCCCTATTGCTCATATATCCGTCCAACCTAGATTTGAAGCTATCCAGCGTATTCCAGTTAATGATGATGTTTGGTAACTTGTTCCACTCATTCACTACTCTATTTCTTAACCAATGTTTGCCTATCTCGCACCTAAATCTAAATTTGTCTAATTTAAAACCATTGCTACGAGTTCGTTCATGGTTGGATAGCTTGAGTACCTTTGTTATATCATCTTTGTTTAACCCTGATTTCAGTTTATACACCTCAATCATATCGCCCCTCACTCTACGTCTCTCGAGGGAATGCAAATTAAGATGCTTTAACCTGTCTCTGTACTCAAGGTTCCTAATGCCCGGGATTAGTCTTGTCATTCTCCTCTGAATTCCTTCTCGAGATTCTATATCCATTCTGTAGTACGGTGACCAGAACTGAACTGCGTAATCCAAGTGAGGTCTCACAAGCGCAAGATATAATTTTAGGATGACCTCGCTAGTCTTGTAACTAGCACTCCTTTGTATGATTATATGAACCCAAGTACTTCGTTAGCCTTGTTTCAAGGAAATACTCATTGTTTACTTGGTTTAAGATTCCTACTTATCATTACTCCTAAATCATCTGGTATCTTGTTTCTCCGTTTACATCTCCTGACTAAGGTTAGCGTTAATGTGTTCAATCCTCAGGTGAAATAATATAAGTTAGGTTATGTAGGATAGGACAGGTTAGGTTAAGTTAGGTTGAATCTGATTTAGGTAAGGTTAGGTTAGGTTAAGTTTATCTTAGATTAGGTTTATCTTCGGTTAAATTATACTAGATTAAGGCAGTGTTAGGATACTGAATCTTCAAACTTAAATTCGGTCAGGTAAGGTTATATTAGGTTAAATCTGGTTAAGTTTAAATAGGTTAATCTTTAGATTAGGTTAAATTATACTACATTAAGTTAGTGTTATGATAAGTTTATCTTAATTTAGGTTAAATTACACTACATTAAAGTAATATTAAGGTAGTTAATCCTCAAATGTAAACAAACTACTGTGGCTAAGATATTCCACTTGAGCCCATAACTCACATTGAAGCCTCCACAGGAGCCTTCATTATCGTTGTAGTCAATGGGAGTATCGAAGCCAAACCTCCACGCTGAAGCTCTTGAGGGTGGGTCAATGAGCCGAGCGTGGCCACTACACATACCCACGACCTGTCACCACGACCAAGAGGAAGGGGGAAGGGGGGAAGAAAAGAGGGGAAGAGGAGGGGGTAAGAGGGGGGATAGAGGGTAAGGGAGAGTAAGATGTCGAGAGGTTAAGGAGGTAGAGTGAGACAGAGAGGGGGAAAGATTAAGAGTTTGAGAGACAGACAGCGAGAGTGAAAAAAAGAAAGTAAGAGGTGGACAGGAGAAAAAGAGACAGAGGAAAAGGACGTGGAAGAGACAGGAAGATATAGCAAGAGGTAAAGAGACGAAAAAGAGAAAAGGCAAAAGAGAATTAAGAGAAAATAAAAAAAAAATAGGGAAGGAAGAAAAAAATAATTATCAAAACTACATCTAATTATAACTACAAACTAAATTATTATTCAACATATATTTCAATTAAGATAACCAAGTAAATAGCTAGAAATGTTATCATAATTTATAGAAACTTTTGTTATCTTAAAAACGTAAACAGTATGTCATAGATTCAATATATACTGATAGACAAAAAAATCTGTGTTCTGATTGTGTTTTAAGTGATATGAGTATATTTTTAGTGATCTGAGTGTGTTTTCCGTGATTTGAGTGTGTTTTCCGTGATCTGAGTGTGTTTTAGGTGATATGAGTGTGTTTTAGGTGATATGAGTGTGTTTTAAGAGATCTGAGTGTATTTTCCGTGATCTGAGTGTGTTTTAAGTGATCTGAGTGTGTTTTAGGTGATATGAGTGTGTTTTAGGTGATCTGAGTGTGTTTTAGGGTTGTGAGTGCGACACTTACCACACACGCTACCACTATACACTGAAGCCAAGCCTTTATCCCCATGGCCGATCTGAGGGAAAGAGAACTTAATTTAGCTGTGACTCTCTCTCTCTCTCTCTCTCTCTCTCTCTCTGTTCTGGTTCAACAGTTCAGAGCACCAGCACTATTTATATTGTTTTTGTTTGTTTGTTTATTTGTTAGATGCTTCAATTACCAGGGTCGTTAAGCACCATGTATCAGGTGATGATTAGCCCCAGAACATAACATAACATAACATAACATAACAACGCTAACCTAACCACACAAAACATAATAAAGGTCAATACGAAGAACAGTGATTCACACACACACACACACACACACACACACACACACACACACACACACACACACACATCCTGTATCGTTCAACAGGATATGACGTCAGAAGCATCGGTCACTCAGTCTAGTGTAGTAAATATTTATCTCGGGGTAATGAAAGGAAATCCGTAACTGTAAAGGATTTAATATTTCTCTCATCGGGCGGATTTTGGGTAAGATAAAAATCCATTAATTGGGATTTACCGTAATATAAGAGATTCAGTTATATTATTCACAACGATTTGGCGCGTGATCAATCGGGTTCGGATTTGGGTATAGGTTCAGGTTCGGGTTTGGGTTTTGTTTGGGGTTCGGGTTAGGGTTCGAGTTTCGGTTTTGTTTTTGGTTCGGTTTCGGGTTTAAGTTCTCCAAAATTGAGTTATATTTACGGTTCGTTAGCTAAAACCAATAAACCATCCAAGGATACGACAGTGAACTAAACTACTAATTAGCACTCAGGGTAGTTTAAAGCTCTCCTCGTCCTCTGATTGGTCGAATAGTTACCAAACACACAAGTACAGGTGACAAACACGGTGCAGGACAGTGTATTGTGAGTCTCAGTGTTATACATGAGTGCACGGTGTGTGTGTGTGTGTGAGAGAGAAGCTGATTACCTCCCTCCCGACATTCAACTGGTAAGTGACGTGTTTAATTTAGTCTCTTAATGATAATAAGTACCATTATTTTTCATTACGTTTTATGGGTTAGGTTAGGTTTGGTTAGGTTAGGTTTGGTTAGGTTAGGTTTGGTTAGGTTAGGTTTTGTTAGGTTAGGTTTTGTTGGGTTAGGTTAAGTTAAGTTAGGTTAAGTTTGATATATTACGCAACACTCAACTCTCCCCTTGGCCGGTGTCACCCTCGTCCGGCCACACTGACAAAGGGAGCCTCCAGATGGCCAGTTAGACACCCAGTGATAAGATCTCTTCTGGTTAATGCGAGGTCATCAGCCGTGATTCATGAGGTTTTCTACACATGACAGACAGAGTACAAGGTCATGTGTGGTGGTTTTTTTTTCTTTTTTATGTGACTGAATGTATGTTTTGTATTTTCCAAGACAAGTGAGTGACTGCAGTGGGAGCGGGTAAACAAAGTGAAAGTTTACTGAGAAATGGTGCTAGGAATGATGACAAAACTAAATTAGGCAGGGAGTTGAAACCTAAACGTGGCAAAGAGAAGACTCGGATCACGACTAACTTAAATGTCTACTACGCAAACTGTAGAAGTATGAGAAACAAAATGGATGAAATCAGGGCGTTGGTATGTACCTAAAAAATCGATATAATAGCATTCACCGAAACATGGATAAACCTAGACTCACGTGAGTTACCTGTCGAATACCAAATTGCAGGTTACAAATTATTCCATACTGATAGGCAGATTAGGAAAGGAGGTGGAGTAATAATCTGTGCCAGGGATAATTTGAAGTGTGAAATAAATAAGTAAATAAAAATCGCAGGAGTAATATATAGACCTCCTAGTATTGATAGAGTTAATGAGCGACTTATTTGGGATGAAATGCGCAGGGCTTCCATACATAGTAAAGTCTGTATAGTAGGCGACTCTAACTTTAGCTAAATAGATAGGACTGACCTTACGGGCAACTCAGAATCAGAGGATTTTCTTGAAACGGTTCAGGACTGTTTCCTAAGCCAACATATAACCAAACCCACCCGGGGTAATAATATACTCGATTTAGTTCTGTCAGACAAAGAAAACCTCACTAGTAATGTCGAGGTAGGGAACGAACTTGCTAACAGCGATCACAAAGAAGTACAATTCAAATTTCAATGTAATGGCAGTCACAAGGAAAATTCCATTAAAGTCTCAGATTTCAGAAGGGCAAACTTTGATAGGTTGAAAAGGCAGCTGAAAGAAGGGGTATCAAGTTTGGGAGTGAATTACATGACCTCACGTGAGGTGACCCCACTGTAATACAGGTAAAAACACTCGTATAGAAGATATGTTTTTAGAGGAAATCTTCTAAACACCAACTCCAGGTGCAGCTATTTATTAATTAACTGAATGGTATGGACACATTAATAAATCATTATATCGAAGTTACTAGACACTGACTCTCGGACACAAACATGAAATGGATACACTTCCCACAGTAAGTAGCTCACCCAATGGATAGCTCTGACAATGATTCATGTGTGACCTGAGGGAGGCCCAGCCGGTGCTGCTGGACTATGTCTCCTATGGGAGAGACTGCTAGCTGGAGACGCCGTGCTCGGGAGGGAAGTCTCCCTCTGGGGAGGAGCTACGGGCTCCTTCCATTTTACAATAATAATCCGAATGCGATTGTGAATGAGAGGGAGCTGCAGGGCCTTATACTGATGATCTCCAGCAGGAAGATATCGTCACTAATCTGGGTGTGTCTGGACAGGTGACAGGTGTAGGGGGATAGATCGCTATCCTCTAACTACCGCCTAATCAGTCTAACATCAATAGTAGGCAATTACTAGAATCAATCATTTCAAGCTCTATTCGAAACCACCTTAGGCATGTTTATGTTCGTAGTTCTTTTGTTTGTCGCTAAATGTCTATGATTACCGTGTGTGTGTGTGTGTGTTTGTGTGTTCACCTATAACATTATCCCTTCACTTTATATTTACTATTATAAACACGTGTGTGTGTGTGTGTGTGATAATAAATAACAATAATAATAATTAACGGTTTATTGAAAAAGTTCTGCAGCCCAAAGGCTGAAAATATACATTAGACAAAAGCTACTTATTACATACAGAGACATGGGGTGGGTGGGTCGTTTAACAAAAGCTTTCATTAATGAAATGAGAAGAAACATGAATTGAACATACAAATAATTATAGTTTACAGTTTATGGCCCGTGCTGGTCTGTGTGAGGTCACGTGGGCCACGTAGTGTAGTAACTCGCCCGTAGGTGTTGATATGAAGGACCTCACATGGTCATGAAGACACCGTGTGGTGTGGTATTCACGTGGTATAGTGACTCATCCTCGGGTGTTGATATGAAGGACCTCATGTGGTCATGAAGACACCGTGTGGTGTGGTATTCACGTGGTATAGTGACTCATCCTCGGGTGTTGATATGAAGGACCTCATGTGGTCATGGGGACACCGGGTGGTGTGGGGTGGTGTCACAGTACCTCACTCTCTCTGCTGAGTGGTTTTGTGTTATCTCGTAGTCAGGTGTAAAGCCGACCCACTGTTGTTCCCAGGGATTAACACCGCCTGGGTCCCAGGGGTGCTTATCTCACTAGTGAGATAAGCACTGTTCTCACTGATACTGTCTAGTTCTGAATTCGCTAGCTTAAACACTGTTCAACACCGATCCCACTTCTTTCCGAAACGAAATTGTCACTTTTGATTATGTTGGTATCCCGGTGGTGAGGATGGGTCGGGGAATGGGGTCGAACATGCCCAAGGAGGGCAGCTGGACAGCAGCACTTGATAGGTCTTGACCCTCAGGTGGTCAAGGATGTAGTGTGTGTGTGTGTGTGTGTGTGTGTGTGTGTGTGTGTGTGTGTAATAAAAATAATAATAATAATAATAATAATAATAATTATAATAATAATAAACGGTTTATTAATAGAGTTGCAGCCGGTAACTGAAAATATAGACTTACATTTGATTTAGACATAACGATATAATATGCGTTGAATACATTTACAGGGCTGTACAGTACATAAATCAGGAGTTGTTTATAATTTTAACAATAGATGGGATGGTGCTGTTCTTATATCTATCGGTGCAGGCTCTTATGGGCTGAATTTTGTTGTAGTGGCGGACTGCGCGAGGTGGGTGGGGGGCTGCCGGTGGCAGGAGGTGGCAATGACGAGGGTGGTGAATTAGTTGGCTGCCAAACCTTTCCAGTGCTTGGTGGTGGAGGTCACTGAGGGATGGCATTTTCAGGGTGGAGAGAGCGTTGATGTAACCGGAGTATTCTGCGCCGAGCATGATTCTGCAGGCCCTTTTTTGTACCTTCTCTAGCTGACATTGTTGGGTGGAGTTGAGAGAAGACGACCAGGCTGGTGACGCATAAGTTACTTTGGGGAGAATAAAGGCGTTGTAGATAGTCCTCAGCTCTGGCGTGGGTGTCCTAAGTGACCTAAGTCGTCGTAGCATGTAGAGACGGTGCGAGGCTGCCTTGACTGTGTTATTTACATGGGCCTTCCAGTCCAGTTTGTTGTCTATAGTTACACCCAGGAGTTTGGCAGACTGCACCAGCTGGAGAGGATGGGCACCCACCGTGACTGCTGGGGCTTGCACTGGAGTGGTGGCGGTATTAATGTGCAGGACTACGGTTTTGGTGTGGTTGATGGTGACCTTGTTCTCCGTAGTCCATGCCTGTAGCCTGTCCAGGGTGCCTTGTAGCTATGAGTAGTCTGTAACCCCCAAAGTGCAGTCATCCACGTACTTCCACCTGTGATGAGTGTCCGATAGAGCGTCGTTGATCAGGATGAGGAAGCACACTGGTCCCATCCTGGTCCCCTGGGGAACACCGCAGGTGAGGTGTTGGAATGTGGAGACCAAGCCCTGATACCTCACGGCCTGACGACATCCACTCAAGAAATCAGTGAGCCATGAGACCAGGTTGGTGGGCAGCCCTAGTGCAATGGCCTTGTTGATAACAGTGCAGTGATCAACAAGGTCAAAGGCCTTCCTGAAGTCAACAAGAGCAACAGGCAGTGATGTCTTACGTTTCTGCAGGTTTTGTGCAGAAAATCAAGAAAGCTCATTAAGCAGTGTGATGTAGAGGAGGTCCTCACATTGCCAAATTGCTGTGGATCAATTGACTGATAGATTCTGGCAAATGCCCACTCAAAAACAAAATCCTCACAGAGTAGACTGGGTATGGGGGTAATGGCAACTGGCCTGGGGTCGTTAGGGGACTGTGGGGTGGTGACCTTGGGGATGGGGGTGACAAATGCGGTTTTCCATTCATTAGGGCATTTGCTTTGTCTGAGGGATGCATTAATAATAAAACAGAGGCGGGTGGCAAGTTCGACTGCAAACTCCATGTATATTTTGATTGGGAGGTCAATTGGGGTCGTGGAGTGTGTGTGTGTGTGTGTGTCTACCTTTGGCAGGCTCCGAAACCGAAACCGTGTCTTCAGCTGTAGGGAGCTGAAATTATCTACAAAGTTGCACGTATATCGAGCAGTGGTCCTGCCCACCCTACTATATGGCAGTGAAACATGGGTCACATACACGAGGCACCTCAAGGCACATGAAAACTTTCACCAACGTAGTCTACGTTCAATCCTCCGAGTTCGCTGGGAAGACAAGAGAACAAATGCCAGCATCCTTGCTGACACCGACTGTAGGAGCATCGAGGCTACCATTATCCACGAACAATTACACTGGACTGGCCATGTTACCCGCATGGACGACAGTAGACTGCCAAAGCAGCTACTTTTCAGTCACCTAACGAATAGTAAACGTAACGCCGGCCGGCAATTGAAAAGGTATCAGGATAGTCTTAAGACAAACCTGAAAAAGTGTCATATCGGCCCCCTCACCTGGGAGTCGATTACTCCACATCGTAACGCTTGGAGGACCACCACACGGGGAGGTGTCAATACTTTCGAGTTAGCCCGACTGCAAACCGAGTCAGACAAGGGCAAACGTCGGAAAGACGCTACCACCGCCCCTCCTGCACTAGATGCAGACCTCCACACGTGCAACGAATGTGGACGACCCTGCGGGTCCCGTATCGGCCTCTTTAGTCACCTCAAAACTCACCAACCTAGGTGACATCCGTAATAACTCATATCATTGTATTATAGCTGGATGATCGTCATACTCGATTCCGAGTGACAGCAAAGTAGTAGTAGTAGTAGTGTGTGTGTTTAAATATCCACAAAATCGTTCTATAAGCCATTGACGCAAACATTTAAACATATAAAGAATGTATAAATTAATAAAAAAGTTTGAGTTAACAAAAGTATATAAACACATCAGCTTACTTAACACACTAACACAACTAACTACAACACAAACATTATATAAACACCTTACCACTGTGATGATGTGAGTCGATACGAATGAATGAGACAGACTGACAGACAGACGTGTAGAGTGACTGATGGAAGTGTTGGCACTGTCCTGGTCAACCACTGACTGATCTTGTAGTGCCAGTGCCAGGGTTTTAAAGTCTTGCTCAGTGACGTCAGAGGCCCGCCATGATGTACACAGCTGCACTGAACACTCGGTGACTCAATGGTGCAAGTTTTCTATCACAGTTTGTACACCAGTTTGGTACAACTGTGAGGAAACACCACCTAGGAGATACACTTTTATTCCACACATTGTACACGAGTTGAGATAGCTAGTATAGTGCAATACTGTCCAGTCTATGGTGTACTAGGAGTGTACACAAGAGTATGATGCAGAGGTACAGCGGTACAGATTATTCCCAGGTTGTACACCAGATAAGATAGCAAGTACATTTCGGTACAACAGTCAGTGAAAACACCTTAGTATATAAACACACTCAGTGGGTGTTTGAGGCAATCCTGTGACTTTACTGCATAAAGAACATGGCTGAGGCGGCTGAGTATCGAAATATAAATAATAATAATAATTCATGATATAGGGACATTAAACACTATAATTGTACTATAAAATCGAACAAAATTAAAAAAATATATAATTAATCTTCTTTGTTTATCAGCACAAGAACATTATCACGTCTAGATTGGGGAGGTGAGAGGACTTGGTCTTTATATTTAGGCTCCCTCTCGCCCTCTTGCCCTCACAGAGGATCAGCACTCGCTAACATATAACACAACCCCATTTAACACTCCTTTTCTGTTTTGTTTTACTGTTAAAGGAGGTTTCAATCCCTTTCCTTCTTCTCTGTTCGTCTTGAGAGCTTCTACCCGTATCCCGTTGTCTCAGTCCACCACCACACACCACCCAGCGATTGTTTATATCTCCTGTGGTTAAGCTGTAGCCTACGGTGTTGATTTTGTAGCTCACGTATAATACTGTTAGGTACTGTAGCTGTGTTTTGATAACCACTGTTCTTTCTCTCTTGTGCTGTGCTGTGTTGTGCTTTGCTGTGCTGTGCTGTGGTTTATTTTTCTGTGCTGTGTTGAGTTTGAACCAGTTTATGATGCAATGTGCTGTGCTGTGCTGTTGTTATACTCTATATGTATATGAATATATATACATGTATATCTTAGTGTATAGGTATATTTAAATATTCCTTCAAGTAGTCAACTATGCTCCTTATGTGTTCCCCCCCCCAAAAAAAAAAAATCAAGCCATAAACTACATCTATATTACCAACCCAAGTTAACTACCTCATATCCACATCCTCCTCATACCACTGGTTGACAGGAAGGGATTGGCCGGATATCTTAAAAAGGATACAGCTCAAGGGATGGATGAGTTGATGTGGATAGTTTGTGACGTCGTTGAGTGTGGGAGAATTGGATACATGTGTGGATGTGGTGTCTCATCAAGCGGATATTTATGGGGTTTTGTTTATTTTTCCCTGTTTCATATTTTCTTTCACTATGATAGAATAGATGTGTGTGTGTGTGTGTGTGTGTGTGTGTGTGTGTGTGTGTGTGTGTGTGATTATTATTATAGATAGCATTATCATTATCATCATCATCATTATCATCATCATCATCACCATCATCATCATCATCATCATCATCATCATCATCTTACAAGGTCACCCTCACATCCACCAGGGGGCGGTGTGTGGGTTACGCCCTTGTCTTACAAAAATAAAAAAAATATCCAAGGCATCACAGTATGAAGGCTGTGGTGTGTGGTGGAAGACTCCCGGGGTGTTTTATAGCTTAATGACCGCTTCTTAGGTACTCTAGGTGTCATAGTGGGTGGTGGGCAGTGGGTGGGTGGGCGGTGGGTGGAGTTATGATGTGGTTTTTAAGTCGACGCCTACAAGGATATATTGCTAATTAGTGTACATATATTTTTTACACGCACACACACACACACACACACACACACACACACACACACACACACACACACACACGCACACACACACACACACACACACACACAGCTTCACCACCACCAAGGTCACTCGTCAGCTGTAGACTCTGACAAAGATAACATCTTGGGAGGGAAGGAAGGAGGTCATCACAATAGTCTAAGATCCCTAGTGAGCCTCAAAAGACTCTTAATAGACTCGTTGGGTCATAGTAAGTCTCTAGAATCTTTTGCTGGTATTTGGAATCTACAGTGAACATTGGGTACCTTCCTGTGGAGTCTTGAACCTCGAGGGAGGGTAAGACTCAGCTTCTTGAGCCTCCCGGTGTGATCTGCTGCTCATTAGAAAACTAATAAATCATTCTAATGATTCTGGGAGTCTATGGGTCCTTACATGAGTGTGGGAGGGGAGGGGAGGGGAAGGGAGAGGAGGGGAGGGACCATTACAGTCACCTTTGGGTATCCTAAGGACCCCCCTTGTCTCTCATGCGACCATTTAGTAGGGTTCTGTGGTCCCTGTAGCAGCATAAGGTCCCTCTTTCCCAGGGTCCTACCAACATCCCAGGGGGGAAGGTACACCATCTGGGGACCATCTGTGGTTGGGAGATGCCGCTAGACGTGGGAAGATGGCCATATACCGGAGATGAACCAGCTGGGCTACCCGGAACACGGCCATCACACGGCCCTCACACGGCCCTCACACGGTCGATACTACCTCACTCACTCCCCTTCCTCCGCCCCAGATGGTGTTGGTAGTGTAATACATTTACTTTACTTTTATTAATGTATTTTTAATTTATTCAGATCTTTAAGTGTGTAATTAATCATATTATACATTAGAGACTTGCAGTTAGACATCAAAGGAGAGATTTACCTAACTAATCGTACTCATCATTACCAGTAACGTTCCAACAATAAAATCCGACACGACTGATAATTTCTGACGTTCAATTAAACTTTTTAAAGAAATTATCTATCAGACGACATTAATTACAGTCTATAAGAAACTTTAATGACTTTATATTTCTCTCAAATAGCATACATATGATATAGAGATTAGATAACGATAATATTCAGGTAATTAATGTCAATAAAAGGTGAAGAATAATTTCGGATGACTTTTTTTCTGCTTCTGAATATTTCGTGTTTACTTCACTTATCCCTTCGTGATAATAAATGATAATAACTTCAATTTAAAACAACCAAACATGAAACAAATCACGAATAATTAACTCTTTTTTTTTTTACAATTTATATTATTATCTTATTTATTTTCTTCATTTATTACATTTTTCTACGATTTATTAGTCCTAAATTTTTGGCGGGGCTCTGAATGCATCGAATCCACATCAGAGACGCACTAGGAAAATATGAATCAATGTATTAGGATTTAATCAGGTTTGGAATTAATCAGACTCCCAGTTTCCGTGATGAGAGGAAGTCATGCGTTTAATATCATCTATACTGATTAGGTTAAGTTTCTTATGTGTATCAATACATATACTCACTCAGGTAGATGTGGGAGTGCGTCATCGGTTTGTCACAGGTGTGGTGGTGGGGTAAAAAACGTGAGGCAGGTGTAGGGCCATGACAGGAGCACGAGGCAAGTGTAGGGCCATGGCAGGAACGTGAGGAAGGTGTAGGGGCATGGCAGGAACGTGAGGAAGGTGTAGGGGCATGGCAGGAACGTGACGAAAATGCAGGGACATGGCAAGAACGAGAGACATGTGTAGGGGCATTGCAAGAACGTGAGACATGTGTGGTGGTGATGACAGGGACGTAAAACAGGTATGATAGGAGAACAACAACATATCACAGGTGTGGTAGTGTTGTAGTAGCAATGTGTCACAGGTATGGTAACGTGATACAGGTGTGTAGGTGGAAGTATAACTGTAATTACCCACCGGACACACAGGTAGACCCAAATTTCCTTTATCATCACACAGTAGATTAAGTGATATTAAATTACTACAAAACACTACAGTACGTGAAGACCTACAGAGACATCTCTATATAACAAACTAAATGTGAGAGTATAGTCCGTTATATGAAGGTTCGTTATCGGTGAAAACCCTTATATAACGGACTATGATAGATATTTATATATTAAATTTGCCATACAGGTTTACAATTGGTTCAGCAGGTATATAAATAATTCAGGTATACAGTTCAACATGTATATAGACAATGCAGGTATTCAGTGCGCACAGACCGTACAGATATACAAATTCCAATACATCTAGACAATACAGGTAAACAGACAATTGTAAACAGTGAGGCAATTCGACCAAGGACAGCCAATAAAGTCATTAGATCTTTACTGTAATTCCTATTGGGTCGTTTACTTAGGTTCATCCTCATATAATACTCAAATAAACACAAAAATCACAGTTAACTCTTAATAGGAAAATCCAATTACAGTATAAAGTAAAACAGGGGAAAAACCGATTTGGTTCCCTTCCTTCGTGGTGAAATAGCGTAACTCTCTCACTATTCATGGGGATAGAGGGAGGAAATCTTCAGTGTTTAGTAGGGCAAGTGTTGGGACAGTATTTCCGGTGAGAGCAGAGTACAGTTAGTTCTGGTGACATAACACAACAGACAGACGAATGGAAAATGAAACTAAACTGAATACAAGTGAATATTAACTAAAAAAAAAAAAACGAAACGAAATAATAAGAAAAGGAAAGATAATATAATAAAAACATTAAAACAGTCACGTGATCTCCACTAGAATCCGTAGTGTGTTTTTATGTTTTCTGAGACGTCCTGTTATGTTGTAATTAGCTACATCCGCCCAGGTAAGGAAGGTGTGTAATACCTGTGTTAACTATATCATGAACGTAACCTCTGTGTGTGTGTGAAGAGAGAGAGAGAGAGAGAGAGAGAGAGAGAGAGAGAGAGAGAGAGAGAGAGAGAACCATTACCTATAGAACAGGTGTTAAAGATCATTAATAGCCCATAAACAATTTACTATGACAGCTATTAGAAGTCGTTATTATGCTAATTAACCTCTTTAGGGGTCAATAGAGAACCTAAAGTAATCCAGGTTTAATTAGCCAAATATAACTTATAATTTCTAACCATTACATAAATATCTCCATTGAATTTCTAGCTTAGGTTAGTTGAGGTTAGGTTAGCTTATTGGGAATTCTTTTTAAAATT